AGGGTTGGACTAGCTGACTTGTATACATATCACGTTGTACCGATCTGAATTATTAACCGCATGTCTAATTGGATTAGCAATTATTTTGTAGGTAATGCATTTTGTTATAACACCTGCATTAGTGAAGTTTGAGTTAATGAGAGTTTTTCCTTTCCTGTATATATTGCTTAGTAGTTTCTAGAGACCCAATGTTTTGTAACCAAAGTTGGGGAATGTCAAATTTAATCAAGAAAACAAAATATTTATTAAGTAAACAGTAAGGAACTCTGGGAGAGTGTGACCTGAAGGTCCCAAAGGCCTCTATCCCTGACGATCTGGTTATTATTTGATTTATGTCAAATAATAACTGCCCTTGTTTTGACCTAAGAGAGGATTGTGCGGGAAGTTTGTCTCTGAGACAGAGCTGAAGCGCTGCTCTGCAGAGTGTCTGGAGCCTAAGTGTACGCAGAGCCCCCCTCTTGGCTCCTTGATAAATAGAGAAAAGGTCCAGTTTGCTCCAGCTGCAAAGTTGAAGTCCTTGTTCGATCTATCTATACTCATTCTGTGAGGAAAAGGACAATCTCTAGTAATACTATTTAACTGTGAGTATTTTGTCTTCTTTCAAAAAACAAAATTTTATAATTGTATGCTGTTTAGATTAAACATGAATGTTAATTTTGTTGGCAATTTAAGCTATTATTAAACGGTACGGTTTTAAGGGTGTTTTTGGAACTCTTTAGTTTCCAGCGTCATCAATTTAATTTTTGCAAAGCGAATGAACCTATGTTGTCACCGTGACAGTCAAACTATAAAAAGCACTTGCCCGTTGAAAACAAGAAATTTAAGTAGCTTATACAGTGACTTGGTTTCCCCTGAGGAATGACAAGGCAGTTTTGAACTGCAGTTGGACTTCAGATGACAGTCGATGTAATAATGAAAGTTGATTCACAGTGGTATTTACTCTCATATTTTAAAAATGAAATGTGTTCTTAATCAAGAACTTATTCTTATTTTATATTTTATATTTTGAAATGGCAGATTATATGTAAATTCAAGGCAACTTGAAATATATTCTGATAAGGGTGTATTCAGGGAATTATACTTCTGTTCAAAATGCTATGATGATATTTATAAAAATTTTTCCCGATTATGGAAGTAGAACACAAATGATATTTCCACATCTCTGAATGATACATTAAATTCATAGTCATGAATTTTCTAAACACTTAGTCTGTTTTCTCTTTCTTAAGCTGTGAAAATTACTTGACATGATATTAAGTTTTTTTAAATTTAAAACTATATAGAGAGTTGTAAGATTCCATTTACATGAAATGTCTAGAATAGGCAGATACGTAGACACAGAAAGTGGATTTCTGGTTGCTAAGGATGGGGGGGAGAGGACAGGATGAGGAGTGACTATGGGTCTGGGGTTTCATTTTGCAGTAATAAAAATGCTCTGCAATTAGGCGGTGGTAAGAGTTGCACACTCCGAATATTCTAAACACCATGAATTGTACATTTTGAAAGAGCAAATTTTTATTATGGAAATTACATCTCAATAAAGCTGCATAGTATAACTGTATGTGAAAACTTCACAGTGTAAGATTCTACAAGTATTCTAAGGCTGAAGGACGGATTCTTGTAAAGAAATCAAGAAGTCTTAATTTGTGCTGTTATTCAAATATATTCTTTTCATGTTCCTTGCTTCCAATAAGCTCAGAGAATTTTGGATCAAAGAAGCTGTGCTCTGAGAAACTTTTTCATAATTATGTATCATATAGCACTATCATTCCTTCTTTTTAGTAGAGGCTACTCTGAAAAGTAAAATGTTTTTCTTGTGAAGCCATCTACTTTTCAGTGATATCAGTTTTATGCAAGGTATTATTCATGATTCAAGTGACATATATGGCAAGAGTGAAAATGTAAAAACTGTTGAAGTCTTTATCATGTAGTTGTACTTCTCCGGAATCAATATGTTTTTCCTGTTAAAGTTCTAGCTTTGTGAAAGTTTCCTAAGCACGATTTACGGTTAAGGCAGAGGAGATGTAAGCATCTTTTCTGGAAAATAGCTATTATAATCTGTGGAAAATACAATTTTTTAATAAATGTATATCTGTTCTAGAAAAAAATACAGACTTTGCCCATGCCAAATTGATCCTCTCGATAAAAACTTCTCTCTTGACTTATTTTTGTTTTTAAATAAATATTTGCTGGGAAAGATAACAAAACAGAATCACGCCAGGCCTATTGTAACTTTTAGCAGGATAGGAAGTCTTTGATTACATACTTCTCTCTATGTTATTAATAATTTACTTAAGTGGTTTTAAACTAATTGTATGAACACTGTATTTCTGAAAGTCTTCATTTACTATGTACACATATTAAAATACTTCAAGTAAACATCTAAAAGGCTGAAGAAAATTTAATTAGTGAAAGATTTTATGTAGAAAATAATACATTACTACGAGCATTTAAGAGAGAAATATTTCATATTTTAAGAGGCTTAGTTTTAATCAAAGGCTTATTTATGTATATGTTCCATGTATGCCCTGGAATAGAACTAGTCCATAAACTGATAAAAACAGGTCTGCTTTAGGTAAAATTTCTGGGTGTTTATATACCAGTATTGGAAGAACTGGGTTTTAGAACATCATTATTTGAGATTTGAACCCTGATAGTGGCATTACTCTAGGATACTTCTATGTGTCTTTCTCAGGACTACCAGTTTTGTTTTAATGTGCTACCTCTGGTTTGTTCTATATTATTTTCAAACTCTCAGCAAAATCTGTATGTAAGTAGCGTAGTACCCAATACTTTTTAATTTTCAGTCTTTATCAGATATTCAATATTGTATGAAGCCTCATGGTAATGTAGCGATTTTAAGAGAAGGGTGAATAACAACTTCAACTTTTCTCATTCCTTTATAATTTTATAAAATCTAATTGAGGCTTGAGAGAGAAGTTTGGAAAAAACTGAACTGGATCATTGCTAAAAAGTATTACACAAATTAAATCAAATGGATGGCATTCAGAATTGTTTTTTTTTTTTACTTTTTTTAATGTTTTTTATTTATTTCTAGGAGAGAGAGAGAGAGAGAGACAGCGTGAGCAGGGGAGGGTCAGAGAGAGAGGGAGTCACAGACTGAAACAGGCTCCAGGCTCTGAGCTGGCAGTCAGCACAGAGCCCGACGCGGGGCCGGAATCCACGAACCGCGAGATCATGACCTAAGCGAAAGTCGGACGCTTAACCGACTAAGCCACCTAGGCGCCCCCCAGAATTGTTTTTATATGGAGGGCCAATTGACCTGTTGCAATATAGGAAACAACGAAGTGTATGTTGATGGATCATATTGATTTTAGTCCTGACTTTTCAAGGAAAACTTCATACTAAGATTGCACTTATTTGGGGCACTGCTTTTGCTTCATCTCTTCCATTCAATGTTCGTTCTATTGGACTGGAGCTATGCCATCAGAAGACTTGGGATTAAATGCTTTTCAAGGAACATACATCCTATTAGATGATAAAGGGGACACATTTCAGAGATATTACTATTTGAATCATCTTCACGGGCATAGAAACCTTAACCACGAACTCCTCACATGAGTAATAAATCCAAGTGAAAGATTTTTCAATATAATCTTAGAGACTGTCTCAGAGGTGGTCACATACATTTTCTGGCGTGATTTAAAACCTATTTTCTTCTTTTCTGGTTCTTTTTAAAGGTGAAAACAGTCTTTATCTTCTAATAGAGAAGATAAAGCTATAAGATACGATGGACTGAAGAGTGACGTTTATTTTCTTCCAATAATTTTCAATCTCTTAAACTGTGATTTCCTGTTTAAGTTTATTCAAATTTTTGGAGTTCCTTTCTAGGAAATAACAAAAATAAATACTTTTTTCCTCATTAAAGGATAGCCTTAGATTTTGAATAATTTTTCTTATAACAGCTTATGATTTTTAGGCTTTACTATTAAAAATAAAACACTTTCCACGGTAATCCATAAACTTGCCTTCATAAATAAAAAAATTTTAGTCAAGCAGAACCAAACTTCATGTTTAGCACATCACAGGACTATGAAAAATGTTTATAGAGGACTTAGAAGATAAACAAGTTTTATCTTAGAAGATAAAACAAGTGCTGCAAAAGGCATTTTTTTCTCACTCTTTAATTTCCTTCATGAAAAAGTCTAATTTTTCTTTCTAGTTCATCTAAATTTAAGACAGTGAGATCTTGAAAATATTAGAATAGCGATTGTGAGAATCAGTTATTAAGACAAGAACTGTGCTGGATTTTACATACATTAATTAAACTCTCCCAATAATTTTGCCAGGACGGGTTTATTATTTTTCTTCTACAAATGACAAAACTAAGGTTTAGAGAGGTTTAATAAATGACCGATAAGTAAGTGGTGAAAGCAGTGTAATGAAGCCTGACACCAAAACCTGGTACACTTTTAAAAGCCACTTTGAAAAAACTAAAGCCACATTGATTCTTACCAAGGTTTAATGAGTTATTTGTAAAGAGCTGAGCAGTAAGAAACTGGCAGAATTAGGGGCACCTGGTTGGCTCAGTCAGTTAACCATCTGACTTTGGCTCAGATCATGATCTCACGGTTCGTGGGTTTGAACCCCACTTCGGGCTGACAGCTCAGAATCTGGAGCCTGAGTCAAATTCTGTCTCTCTCCCTCTGCCCCACTCACAATCTGTCTCTCTCTCTCTGTCTCTCAAAAATTAATATTAAAAAATTTAAATTTTTTTTAAATTTAAATTTTAGAAATTGGCAGAATTAATAATTTGGTGTTTAGAAATTGAAAACTCAATATTTTTCCAATTAAAGTATAAATATAAATGTATAATTTTAGTATAAATTCTGCTAACTCTTCTGTTTCAAAAATAGTACTGGACTTTTATAAAATCATGCTAGTTGATAATCATGCTTTCAAATAGTCTACAAAACTTTTGTTTCCTTCAGGTTCTATTTCAGCATTCACTGATGAATAAGTGAGAATTGGACCAGAGAATGGCAAATACTTATGTCACTACATCTGATGGGTACTGTCTTACTGAACCAGTGCAGTACTATGGTATGTAAACAAAAAATTACAGTGTAATAGTTAATAAAACATTTTTGTGTGGAATATTGATTAATAACAGGGCTTTTTAAAAAAGAAATAAACAAGTAAACCAAAGACTTAAAATTATTCTCAACACGAGGAATTAAAATAAAAAACTTAATAAAAAATTATTCCCTCTGAGAGAATATAATTAATTTAAAAAATCAATAATACAAAAATATTGTAAGCCAGAATCAAACGTAATGAGGGAAAAGCCCAGCGTGCCTGGGTGGCTCAGTTGGTTGAACATCAGACTCTTGATTTTAGCTCAGGTCATGATCTCACAGTTCATGGGATGGAGTCCTGAGCTGGGCTCTGCACTGAGAGCTAGGGGCCTGCTTGGGATTCTCTCTCCCTCTCTCTGACTCTCCTCTGTGTGCCTGCGTGAGCACTCTCTCTCTCTCTCAAAATAAATAAACTTTTTTTTTTTTTAAAAAAGGAGGGAAATGCAAGATAGTATAAATTGTATCTAATTTAAAATTTTTGAATTAACATGCACATTAGAAGTTGTTTTAGGAGTTAGTTGAAGCTAGTTCACTTGCATTTTAGTAAATGTAGCTCAGAGTGCTATTCAATATACTTGAAATTTTAATCTTGATATAAGATTTTTATCAAAGGGAAAGAAAAAGAAATAGAATGCAGGATGAGATAGGAATTTTCTCTGAAAAGAGTAAGGCTATAATATAAATTTAAAGGAGGCAGTTTTCTTGTAGGGTTAAGGTTAGGGTTAGGGTTTCAACTCTGATTTTCATAACAATGGAACATCAGTCAGTATTCTAAGGTCTTTTGACACTCAATCAAGAAGGGCCTTTTTCTTTAAAAAAAAGTTACATTGTTTTTACTGATAACCTTTCTATTTATATCAGGTGCTCATTAGCATTTATTCAACACTTAGCGTTAGACTGAATGCTATATGATTGCAAGTGATTTATGTGAGTTAGTTAATGAAAATTATAATGTTTACTGACCTAGGTGGTAGAATTTTGAGACTAACCACCTGTTGACTCAGCATCAGGAAAAGTACAAATATTACTAGTTACAGACATATGGCAGGGCAACTCAGTACTCCTGGGTCCATTTGGAGCCAATTTTCCGGATGTAGATTTAACAATTTCACTGAAAGCAGAAAGTAAGTTGATATTTGGGAGTTTCTGATAATTATCATAATGATATTTGTTAAGCACTATTTTATATTTTCTGTTTTATATTTTATATTTGTTTTGCATACCGTATTTTATTTACCCTTACAGTAGCCCTTTGTGGTTAGTGAATTTATACCCAGATAATTGCTAGTTAGAATTGCTGGTCAACAAAACACAAAAGAAACTAATAATTTAAAGCAGGCCCATAAATTGCAAAGGAGAGTGTTAAGGTACATTAAATAGAGAGTTCAAGTAAAAAAATTTATTTATATTTATTTTGAGAGAGAAAGAGAGAAAGTATGAGTCAGGGAGGGGCAGAGAGAGAGGGAGAGAGAGAGAATCCCAAGCAGCCTCCACACTGTCAGCACAGAGCCCAACGCGGGACTTGAACTCATAAACTGAACTCATGAACTGTGAGATCATGACCTGAGCCGAAGTCGGATACTTCACTGACAAGGCCACCCAGGAGCCCCAGAAAAAAAAAGATTTTTGCTTGCAATAACCAGGTAACTGGTAAAATTGTATTTCAGTTTAATATTTTTGGGAGGTGGCCAGTTTATTAATTCATTTCTTTGTTGACCTGAATGTACGACAGATAGTAGTACCCACAATAAGGGAAATGCAAAAGATGGGGAAAACCTTTCATTCCAAACTCTGGGAAATATGCATTTCTATTTAAGATGGAGGCCAGATTTAGTTTGTAGGCCATTAGCAGCTACTTCCCTTTCTCCCAGTTCCTGGGCAACCTCTGCACAGCGCTGAGATGGCAGTACTTACGAGGCATTGCAGTACAGTTCACTGCTTGCTCCTCGTGCTGGACAAGCAAGTCCCTGCGATGGAGTGGACGTGTTGACCTAACTGCTTGTGTAGCATAAAACTCTTTGACTTTTGAAAACAATTATGGGATTTTGACTTTTTACCATTTGTTCTTTTTTTATGTTAAAAACAACTAGATATTCTGCCAGAGCCGATCAGTTATCAGCTGTACGACACTGATTTTCAAGAATCGCCTTTTTGCCAGTATTCTACTGTCCAGTTTCCAACGGCTCTGCAGTCCCAATCTTTACAAAGTCATTTCAACACTTATAGCTTGGATCCACAGTTCAGTGGTGGAGAATGTGGACTTGTTTCCTGTGAATTAAATAAGCCCACTTGTGTGGTTGACCATGATGCTGAAGATGGATACCCTGGAATACAAAGGTCCAGACTAACTCATTCTTCTATTCGAATTAAGGGACAGGAAGAACTCTGTGTAGTTTGTGGAGATAAAGCATCAGGATATCATTATAATGCACTTACTTGTGAAGGTTGCAAAGGTAAGGATAAAGTTAAAACAAAACTGAAGTCCTAGAGCTCCCTGAAGAGTCATGAAATTTTAGGCCTGTAAGAAGACCCTTACTTTTTAAAGTGTGAAAAAGCAAACCAAGGAGAGCCATGGACATATTTAAAGGTGATCAATCTGTGGCATAAAAGACATGAAAGGGGAATGTAATAAAGTTTTGATTTAGTTTTCATTTTTGATGAAAACTTTTACATTTAAATATAAACCTCAATATTTATATAATTGCAGGAGGTTTCTGTGTTCCTAGATGAATCTAGTATTGGAAAGGAAAATGATTTTTAAAGCATCTGAATGGTAACTATTACACCTGCCCATGTGGTTGGTGTAATTCATGCATTAGAAGGGAATTTGAAATTAAATGACTTCTATGATCCTATTTTAATTTCTTTTGGGATGCTTTTTGGAAAACAAATGGGAAGTTTGCAAGTGAAGATCATTATTGACAAGAAATTTTCAAAAAGTGAAATAGCGCTTGATAAAATTTTGAAGTTTTGAAACACTTCTGCACTTTTTTTTTTTTTTTACAAATGCAACATTGAGACAGAACCTGGAAATGAGGAGGCCAATGCAGTACTAGGTAAACATATCTGCCAGAAGTCCATGGTGAAGATTTACTGTCAGAATCTCACAACTTATCCCTCACGAAGAACAACCAAATAAACACTATGGGAAATGAGGTACCAGCTTTAGGAATAGAATAGCTGGGCAAGTATTTGCTTACTCTAAAATGCAGGGCCTTGCTGTTTAAACTAGGTAGAGGATGAGGCATAGTTCTTGAAAACTTCAGCTGAGCTTTCTGCTCCCTTTGTTGAATCTAAATCACTAAACTCTCACTCTCAAGTGTATCTACATGAAAAAGGTATGGCTGGCCTCCAAGAGGGGCATTAACATAGCTGATCTACTTTACTGGTTGGAATGGATTAAGAAGATAGCAGGGGGGACTGCATAGGAATGGGAGATGAAAGAGGAAATGGGAAGGGGGGCTGCTATGCATGGATTTAGGAAATGAAGGAGAAAATATAGATACCTCCACCAAAACCAACACACAAAGAACACAGCCTACTCAATGTCGCAGGCCAAATAACCTAACAATATTTTCTCACCTGTGGGAGTGATAAAAAAGGAAGGAACAGTGGACTAAGTTTTGAAGATATCTCTTCCTTTATGGGTTGAGGTGGAAATGTGAGGAGAGAAGAAAAGAGGTTTCGTCTGAGTACATGTTCTTTCAAAGGCAGCTAGAGAGATGCTTCATGGAACCTTGATATTCTGTAAAACATAGTTGTAAAAATGCTTTATTTATTTATGTATTTATTTATTTATCCTTAAATAGTTTATTGTCAGGTTGGTTTCCATATAACACCGAGTGCTCATCCCAACAAGTGCCCTCCTCCATGCCCATCACCCCCTTCCGCTCTCCCCCACCCCCATCTGCCCTCAGTTTGTTCTCAGCATTTAAGAGTCTCTCATGGTTTGCCTCCCTCCGTTTCCCCAACTATTTTTCCCCTTCTTCTTCTGCTTTGTCCTTCATTAACTTCCTCCTAATCCTCCTATAAAAAATGCTTTAGATGATAATAGTATAACCATAATAAAATAGATAAAATAAAATCTTGATGTGTTGGAGTTATTTAGTTTAATTTTTGGATGTGATTATTGAAAGGAATACCCTTGGAATACAATATAGCAATCATGAGGGAATATAAATATCTATCAAAATAAACCTTCTTATTGATAGAAAAACACATTTTATTGAAATAATGTAGTTATTTTGGTCACTTTACTAGGAAGGTATATATTCATTAAAAAAAACAACTAAAGATACCTAATCGTAAATTTTAAAAGTAGTTTTTCTTGTCATTAGGTTTTTTTCGACGTAGCATCACCAAAAATGCAGTGTATCATTGCAAGAATGGTGGCCACTGTGAAATGGACATGTACATGCGTAGGAAATGTCAGGAGTGCAGACTAAAGAAATGTAAGGCAGTAGGAATGTTGGCAGAATGTAAGTATTATTGTGGATTTGGGGGGTTCTTTTTTTTGAGGGGGATTTTCATTTTTAAAAAAAAAATTTTATGTTTATTTATTTTTGAGACAGAGAGAAACAGGCATGGGTTGGGGAGGGGCAATGAGAGAGGGAGACACAGAATCGGAAGCAGCTCCAGGCTCTGAGCCGTCAGCACAGAGCCTGATGAGGGGCTCTAACCCAGGAACCATGAGATCATGACTTGAGCAGAAGTCGGATGCTTAACCGACTGAACCACCCAGGCACCCTTTAGTTTTTCTTATCTTTCAACTTAATGCATTCCTCAAATTGTCATTTTGAACATTAACATATTTGTCTAGATTTAAGCTATATCTCTAGCAACTGATAAATTAGGATGACCAGTAACCAATCTAGGTAATTATTTCTGTAAACCTTGTTCTATATTATATTGCTCTAGTTTTGCCAATAATCATATGTTCTTTCTTAATTGGAAATCCTTGTACTGTCATATTACTTAACTTAACGTTATGCAAATGTATCTATACAGAGCAGAATTTTTTAAAACATTTTTTTATGTTTTCTTTATTTAAAAAATTTTTTTAATGTTTTAGTTATTTTTTAAGAGAGAGAGAGAGAGAGACAGTGTGAGCAGGAGAGGGTCAGAGAGAGAGGAAGTCATAGAATCTGAAACAGGCTCCAGGCTCTGAGCTGTCAGTGCAGAGCCCGACGTGGGGCTCAAACCCATGAACCACGAGATCGTGACCCGAACCAAAGTCAGATGCCCGACTGACTGAGCCACCCAGGCACCCCTAGAGAGCAGAATTTTAAAGTAGTAGTTCTCCTTCTTTGGTCTTGCATCTTTACAAGCCTACATGATTGATACCTGGGGAAGTAGAGCCTACTAACAACCCATAGATGTCAGAATCCAACTCAACAGGCAGAAGAGTACCTAAGCTGTTTGTTACTGAGTTTTTAGCTTATAAATTACATGATGTCATTTAATCTTCAGAGCAGTACTAAGAGTTTGGCATTATTCCTTCAATTTCTCCTATTCCCCAGAGCTCAAAATCTCATGGTGATTTCAAAATTTCATTTTTCTTAATAAGCTATCATTAATGTTTTCTTCTCATGTCTAACCTAGACTTGGACAAACTTTATTGGTATTTCTTCATTTTCTCTTTTTAGTTCAAGCTACCTTCAACTGCTATAATATTCAATTTTTATTGTAACACTCTTGTTCAATAAATACCGATGCAATATCCTGTTTATATTATACTGCTTATTATAATAAAATCCAAGCTCTTCAAAATTATTGACTGAAAGGATTCCTATTTAAAATTCTAGGTTGGAGTAGATCTTAAGGTTATCCTGTCCAGCCTGAATCCTTTACTTTATCCCTGTCTGAGATTGCTCAGGCTGCCATAACAAAATACCATTGTCTTGTCTTGTTAGGAAAAAATTGACTTAGCTCATTTAAAAAATTGTAAAATATTCTCTTGACCTATATGAAAATCAAAGATAAAAGCTCACGGATAAGGTAGTTCAACTGCTATACCAATTGATGTTTTATGCTGCTTCCAAGATCTAATTGATGTGTATATTTCTCTAACATAAAAAGGTCTAGATTTATAGTTTGGAGATGCAAAATTAATTTTTAATTTATGTCTAGGCTGACTGCATTTTTAAGTAGAAGGTAGTGATGGAAGGGAAGGGAGAAAGTAACGTAGTAAATTTAATTGCTGTGTATATCCTTGCCATTAAAGAAAGAGTCTTTGTGAAAAGACAAGTCTATATATGTGTATCCAGTATAAGACAATTTTCATCAACTCCTAGAATGTTATTTGCCATACCTAAAACATTTTATATGAATTTTGTTGTATCACAGGTTTGCTCACAGAAATCCAATGCAAATCAAAGAGACTTCGAAAGAATTTTAAGCAGAATAGTGTTTCCTCTGGCATCAAAGTGGAAGAGGAAGTAGACAACAAGCTTGTATCGTCCACCACGCCTTCTGGAAAAGTGGCAAGACTCTTTTTATAAAATTTCTTGTTTCTTTAAGGATGACATGATGTCTCCTTTAAGAAGAATTCACTATCGTTCTCTCCCTCCCCCGTGTTTTCTTATAGATTAAGGAGAGCATGGAACTAACTCAAGAGGAACATCAGCTCATTAAGGACATTGTGGCTGCTCATCAAAAATATGCAATTCCTTTAGAGGAGACAAAGACACTTGTATGTGTCCATTACTGGCAGGAGATGATTTATAACCAATTATGTTAGAAAATCAAGAGCATCAACATGAAAGTTGGAAAATTTAAACTGTTAATTGAAAAGTTAAAAATTTTAATTTACTTAAAAGAAAAAAATTCATTAACCTTATTTCTTTTTGTTGGCTAGCTGCAGAAGTATGCAAATCCTGAGCTGAGCTTTTTGCAACTTTCAGAGACAGTGGTCCTACACCCACAGGGGTTAGTGGATTTTACCAAGGGGCTCCCAGGTAATCACTTTACCTTTGGAAAAAAATTATTTATTTTTTATTTAATTTTTTAAAAAATGTTTTATTTATTTTTGAGACAGAGATAGAGACAGCATGAGCAGGGGAGGGTCAGAGAGAGAGGGAGATACAGAATTTGAAGCAGGCTCCAGGCTCTGAGCCATCAGCACAGAGCCTGATGTGGGGCTCGAACCCAGGAACCACGAGATCGTGACCTGAGCCGAAGTCGGACGCTTAACCAACTGAGCAACCAAGGCACCCCGAGGGAAAAAAAATTACCTTAATACTTACTTTTTTGGAGTTTCCTGTTTTTTTAAAAAATTTTTAATGTTTTATTATTTATTTCTGAGAGAGAGAGAGGACGAGCATAAGCAGGGGAGGGGCAGCGAGAGAGGGAGACACAGAATCCGAAACAGGTTCCAGGCTCTGAGCTGTCAGCACAGAGCCCGACACAGGGCTGAACCCACGATCCGTGGGATCATGATCCATGGGATCATGACCTGAGCTGAAGTCGGATGCTTAACCTACTAAGCCACCCAGGCGCCCCTGAAGTTTCCTGTTTTAAAGGATGAAGACCATTTAGGAAAATAAAACCCTCTATTTTTCAAGCAAAGCTGGTGGGAATGGGTCATTTTGTCTGCTTTAAACAACCATGTGGTTGAAAGTCTAAATATTTAAAAATATTCAAATGACTCAAAGGCCTTAGACCGAGACAAATAATATGATTAAGTGTATCTTTTAACTTTAGATAAAACATGGAACAAAATTGCCAGTACAATATGAAAAAATCAAGGTACAATTGGCCAAAACTTACCCATCCATGTGTACAGATAACTCATTGTAAAAATAAATTCTTTGAGGCTAAACTATGTTCAATTTGCTCTTGTCATATGAAAGTATTATTATCCAGGTCTGATGAAGTGCTTCAAAATATTACCATGTAGAATCAAGAGTTTTATCTAGATTTGAAGTTCCAAATTGTGTTCATTCTAAAGAAACACTTAGGATTTACATTAGAACTAAATGGATAATTAAAAATACTAAAGCTTATACCTGAAAAGTATATTTTTGTTACTGATTTCAAACAATTATGTGATCTTCTGTTAAAGGATTTGAAAATTTGACAACTGAGGACCAGACTGCATTACGCAAGGGATCAAAAACTGAAGTGATGTTTCTTCACGGGGCCCAACTTCACAGTCTGAAAGAATGTCTCTCACCAGTTTCTGAAAGTAAAAAAGGCCAGCCAGCATAATCTTAATGCTAAGAGTTAATATTAAATACAGCAATAAATTATACATTGAGTTACTTTTTCTGATTATATTTTTGTTGTAACTAGTTAGTGTAGGAATAGAATTTCATAATAGCTTTTCTAATTCATCGGTCTAGCTTTTGCTTTTCTTTTAAAGGAAACCATTTTTCATTATATGGCATCATAGGAAAAATCTCCTTGGAGAGTTTTCCACACAAAATTTATGTAAAATCTAAACTATTAATCTCACTTCATGTTTCAGTAATAAAAATTAGAAGTCTACAATTTGATGGGAATGTTTCCTAACAGATTAGAGAGAATGGATTTGCTATCTGTGTAAAGAAGTTGTTTTAAATCAGACTTTATAATTTTCCCTGTTACTAGGTACTATGAGAGTATCAAAGCATTCAGATGACTCGCTGAATTGTCACCATCAGGGTGTTAATAGGGGTGTTATTTATTCTATGGAACCCTTTTGCAAGGAAGACTGTCACCCTACTACACTGACTGGTAATATTACATGCCATACAACATATTATATTGGATGGGAAAAATTGGTCAGATACAATGTTTCAATTTATTGTTCTGCTTTAAGAAAAAGCGATAATGGCAGCATGTTTGACTCTGCACTGTGTTCTGACGAAAATACATTTGCTATTAATCTTTTTAGGTACTGCTGAAGAATTTATTAACACATTGTTTTACTTCTACAGAAGAATGAGTGAGCTTAATGTTACTAATACTGAATATGCTCTCCTTGCAGCAACAACTGTGTTTTTTTCAGGTAAAAACCATTCAAAAGAAAAGCTTTGGATCAGTTTGGCAATCAAATCATGATGTCTGTGGTTATTATGTTATTCACTGATGCCAAATGTAACAATTTTGTCTCACAAAATCTCTTTCTCCTTGAGAGAACTCTTTAGCTTACCAACATGCTATAATTCTTGCATCTTAAAAAATACCTTCTTGACCCATAATCCCCTTTCAGCTTTTCTCCAATTTCTCTGTTCTACTTTACAGAAACAATTTTTTTTTGAGTTTTCTGTACTCTTGTCTGTATTTCTCTCAACTCATTTACTCATGAACCCACTGCAGTCAGATTTTGTCCCCTTCTTTCCACTCTGCCATAATGTGTCAAGGTCTTCAGTAATCTGGCATTGCTGATTGCAGCGGTCAATTCTTAGTCCTTATTGTACCTGACCCATCAGCTTCATCAGACAGAGCAGATCATTCCTTCTCTCTTGGAACACTTTCATCACCTGGCTTATGTTGGTCACTCCCTCCTTCTTGAAAAACTTTTTTTCTCCACTTAGTTTCCAGGACATCACACTCTCGTGATTTTCCTCCTCAGTGACTGCTCTTTCCATCTCCTTTGTTAATTCCTCCTCAGGTCTCACGCTGATAAATGTAAGAGTGTCCTAAGGCTCAGTTCTTTTTTCTTCTTCACTGACTTGAACCTTTGAAATTTCATCCCATCTCATGGCTTTGAACACCATCTACATGTTAACAACTCCTCAATTTTTTTTTTTTTTAATCTGAGAGAGAGAGAAAGAGAGAGTGTGTGCAGGAGAGCGAGCAGGGGAGGGACAGAGGGAAAGAGAACTTATGCAGGCTCCTTGCTGAGCCTGAACTGAGCGTGGAGCCTGATGTGTGGGGCTCAAACCCATGACTCTGGGATCACAACCTGAGCTGAAATCAAGAGTCGGATGTTCAACCGACTAAGCCGCCCTGGTGACCCAGACAATTCCCAAATTTACATACCAGCTTAGACTGCTCCCCTAAACTCCACTAAATAGCCTACCCAAGAGTTCTACTTTTGTGTAGTAAGGCATATCAAATTTAACCTATCCCAGGGTGAACTCCTGATCTCTTCCTGATCCTCCTATATTCATCCTCCATCTTTACTAAATGGCATCTCCATCCTTCAAGTTGCACAAGCCAAAATTTGTGAATTCATTCTTCACGTCTTTCTTTTTCTTACACCCACATCAAAAAGGCAACACGTCCTGTTGGCACTAGCCTCAAAATATACCCGGAACTCAACCAGGTCTTACTGCCCTGTTCCTGCCCCCTAATTCCAACGAGGGTCCTTTTGTGCTTTCCTGTTTCTGCCCTTGCCTTCCTACGGTCTAGTCTCTATACAGAGACCAGTGTTATTCTTTTAAAACATCTTAGCTCATAACCCTTCCACGGTTTCCTATTCTACATAGCTTAAAGCCAAGTTTTTTCCATTCTTGCCTACTACTATCCCTTTTGCTTACCTCACCACAGCCACATTTTCCCCCCCACATTAGTTTTGATACATATTGTTACTTGAAAATGTCAAGCAGGCTCCTGCCACAGGTTGTAAGGTACTTGACAAATATGCTTGGAAAGCTATTTCGCCAGAATAGCTACATGCCTCCCTCCTTCATCTTGGATCTCTGCAAAATGTCCTCTTACCTCTGATCATCCTTTTAAAAATAGCTACTGCACCTCCACCCTAATTTCTTATCCCTTTCTCTGCTTATTTTTCTCTGTGACACTTATCGTTGTCATATTATATTTCTATTTAAATGTGTATGTGTCTCTTCTCTTGCCCCCTCCTCCCAAACTCAGGATAGAAGCTTAATGAGGGCAGGGAATTGTGTCTGCCTTGTTCACTGCTGCATCTCCACCACAATGCCTGGATAAATAATTGTTGCCTAAACGTTAAGAAATTCTCGGTTGGTTAGAAGCTTCACCTTTCACTTACTGTTGCCCTTGAAGAAATTAATTTTTTTAAAGTTTCAAGTAAGCTTGAAACTTGCTTTTATATTCTTACAACCATTTACTGACCCTTCTCTTCCTATTTGACTTGTCTACATCTTAATAAGCTGGTTTAAAAGACCGTGGTAATAATGGAATTTACCTCATAGCATATCTGAAGATTAAATAAGACATTGCATGAAATAAGTTACTTAGTGTAATATCTGGCATATGTTAAGGGTCCAGTAAATATTTGCTATTTTTATTATTTACAAACTGTATTGCTTTAAATTAATTTGCTATCTTTTACCACTTTCCAGTATTCATTAAGATGTACATGATGATGTTTTTCAGATCGTCCATGCCTTAAAAATAAGCAATATGTGGAAAATTTACAGGAACCAGTTTTACAAATTTTGTACAAATATTCAAAAATTTATCATCCAGAAGACCTACAGCATTTTGCTCGTCTCATAGCGAGGCTCACTGAACTGAGGACACTGAATCACAACTACTCAGAAATCCTTCGCGCTTGGAAAGCAGAGGACCCCAAATTGGCTTGTTTACTCTCAGAGAAATGGGATTTGTATTCACATTGCTGAAATTTTAGAACGTTATTGTGGTTTGTCTTAAAACTTTCTAAATCTAGATTGTTTATCATCATAGGATGACTGATTTGGAAAACATAAACAGGACTGCTAGGTTTCCAATATATCACCAAGAAAGGGACATTATCAGTGTTCCTCAAATTCTGTGGAATGTAGGACTACCACTAGAGGGACAGCCAGGATTCTTTTTGAGATTTGACTCAAAAGAAGCAATAATTATTGTTTGCATGATTCCTTCTAAAGGGAAAAATGCTAGAGTTCTTACCTGAAGAAACTCTACTGCTTCCCTTTAGTAGAAAATTGAATGCAAGTATATAGATTACTTATAGACATGAGAATCTAGTGGAAACAGTTGTAATCAGAATACTGGCAGTTTGTGAACCTCATTAATTAGGCCAGATTGATGGATAAAGAACTAACATTTTAAACTGATTCTTGTTATGGCATTTTATGAATTATTAAAGAGGAACAAAACTTTGTTCAACTCTTACCTTTTCCTAATGTTTTTTAAAAAGAAATCTTTTGTAAGTCTGAATTAAAAAATTTTTTGTGATGGCAAGATATTGAAAAAAGCTAAAATGACAAGTCATTCAAATGTTTTCAACACGATTTACTGCTCATTCTGGCAGACAATATTTTGACATTTTTGCCAATACCTTTTGTAGAAAAAATGAAGTTCTTTAAAACTGAAATCTTTCCACAAATATTTTAATCCTTGTAAGGATAGGAATGCTATCTAGTAAAAATAAATTTCATATGAAATACATGGAATTGAGAAATTCTGTGGTGCTATTATTTGAAAGACTGGCTGTAAGTAAATAAAATACTGTGAATTTAAGTTAGTAGGAGTGGTAGCATTTTGGTTTTTTATAAAGGAAAAAAAGACCATAGTTAAATTTTTCGCAGTTATAAAACTTAAAAAAAACCTGAAACGTTGAATTTATACTTTCAACTTTCAAAAGATCTTATTTAAATGTATTATTGCCTCCAGGGGGTATCTTGGGCATAAACCTGGAATCATCTCTTTGAGGGAATACTCTTTTTTAGACAGACCTCAATTTCCTTAAAATATAAAATGAAGGACTTAACCTGGTTCATCTCTTTCAGCTCAAAAATTTTTTAAGTTTTAGCAGAAACCATGATGTCTCAGATTACATTTACACAAAACAAAGTTGGTTAAAGTATTTAAGTCCTTTCGAAAAACATCAATTATAGGAGTTACAAAACAAAGTCAAATGTGTTCAAAACGGAAGGGAACTCCTCTAATTGCTCAAACCTAGGTACTTAGCATCACAATATTTATTGTATTTACTCGCTCAAGCCTGAAACCAGGAAGACATCTGAGACTTCTCTCACTGCTTACTATTAAAAGCCACCAAATCCTATTAATTCTGCTTCCTAAATATCTTTTACGTTTGATGCCTCTTGTTCATCTCCACCACCATTGTCATGGCTCGCCTCCTCATACCTTACCCAGCCTATTAAAACTGTGTCCCTAACTTGAGTCCCACATGTGTGCCTAAACCACTTCTCGTACTACAACTTTTCTTCTGAACTGGATCTTGCCTTCCTTTCCACTCAGAATTCAAGTTCCCCATCCACAAAGGCTAAAACCCAAGGCCTTCTTGTCTGTCAAGTCTGCAGTCTCATTCTTGCCATTTCCTGACCTTGTCCTCAAACACCTACGCCACACTTGTTGGACTCCCTCGTACTCTTTCAAAACCACAGGGCCTTGGCCTACCTTCAGGGGTATACTCTTTCCCCACTGACTAGCCCAGTCTCTCTATAGTCCCTCTACTCTTGAGGGAAGCCCTAAGGGAAGCCCAACTGCGCACCCTCTCCTGACTCTCCAGGCCACTGCTTAGAGCCTCTTTTCCTGTGTCCTAACCAGTCTTTCAAAATCACCCCCTTTACATGATTACACGTGGCTACAATTGTCTGCCCCTCTGTTTTCTGCCCTAAGACTGAACTCTTGGAAGATGGAAGTGTGTTTTTCACTCTTGGCTTCAATCTGTCACGGGGCTTGCTAGTTTTCCTCGCATTCTCTAACAATGGTAGAAGCCTCAAGAACGCCTGAGGAGAAACAGAATCCGGCGAAGAATTGTTACCAGCGCAAAGGAAAATCTCGCGAGAATCGGGAGCCGGGGCAAAGGTCGCGGATGACCGTTATTTAGCCGTTAACCAGCCGTGCACCTGGCCCTTCTCTGCTGGCCGCTGAGGAGGGGCGATCTCCGGCCTTGACTGAAGTTCGGAGGCAGAAGCTCTCGTAGGTTCTTTGTGCTGCCTTAGTCGGAACCGCGGTCTTTCGCTGAGTAGTCAGAGGGAAGAGCAGGTGTCCCGAGTTCTTTCCTGGCCACCGAACCCGGAGCCGGGCGGTTTTGATTCCTGCTGGCGCCTCGGTAGCCGTTGCCCTGTCAGAACCTGAGGTAGTTCTCGGGCGGTGGTGATTCAATTTGCCAGAGCTTTCTGTCCCGGGCTGTCACAGGGAGGCCTCGTCGTCAGTTTCTGGCTTCTTTGCGTCGCCAGCGTAGCCATCAGTGGGGGTGGGGGTGGGGGTGGAGGTGTGGGTGGGGGTGGAGGGAACAACTGCGGGACGTCTTCGCTTTGACCCCCCCGGTAATCGCACGCGAAGGACTCATTGTAGCAAAGGTCCCATCCGCTCCTCCTCGTCCCAGCATTTATCCTGCGGGCCTCGCCTTTTAAAACAAAGAGGGTGTTAAAGAAACAATGTGAAACTCTTTCTCCCCCTCGGCCCCCCCCCCCCCCCCCAGCTTGCAGGGGCAACACCTGGAAGAGAGGAAATGGAAAAGCAAAAGCCTTTTAAACTGTTTGTACCACCACGACTAAATAGCGGTCAAGTGTCTGCGGTGAAACCTCAGAGTTTGGGAGAGTCTAATTTCTTCAAGGTAAATTTGCGAATGAATCTTGATTTGAAACTCTTCAGGAAAGAGGCGCGGTGTATTTTCTTATCGGTAATACTGTGTAAGGTTTTTTTTTTTCTTCAGTAAATGTGGCCTTATTTACCCAAGAAGTTTTATTTTTTGTTTAAAAATATTTAATGTTTATTTTTTATTTTTAAGAGACAGAGCACGAGCGGGGGAGGGGTAGTGAGAGGGAGACAGAATCTGAAGCAGCTCCAGGCTCTGAGCTGTCAGCACAGAGCCCGACGCGGGGCTCGAACCCACGGACCGTGAGATCATGCCCTGAGCCGAAGTCGGCCACTTAACCGAGTGAGCCCCGCAGGCGCCCTATATTTTATTTTATTTTATATTTTATTTTACATTATATTATTCTTTATTTTCCCAAGAATTTTTAAACATTTATTTAAATCGTGGGGATGAGCACTGGGTGTTATGTGGAAACTAATTTGACAATGAACTATTTGTAAAAAAAAATAATAATAATAAAAAAATAAAAAGTCATAGATGCAAAAAACAAACCCCATTTATTTAAAAACTTAAATCCAATTTATTTGATATACAGGGTTACATCAGTTTCAGGTGTACAATACAGTGATTCAGTAGTTCCGTACATTACGCTCATCAAGATAGGTGCACTCTTAATCCCCTTCACCTCTTTCCTGCGTCTCCCCACCACCTTCCCTCAGGCACTCACCAGTTTGTTGTCTATCGTTTAGGAGTTGGCTTCTTGGTTTGTCTCTTTTTTCCTCTGTAGCCTCCTTTGTTTTGTCTTAAATTCCACATATGAACGAAATCGTATGGTATTTGTCTTTTTCTGACTTGTTTCGCTTAGCATTATACTGACTAGCTCTGTGCTTGTTGCAAATGTCAAGATTTCATTCTTTTTTATAAATCAGTAATATTGTATATCTTTAGCACATCTTTTTTAAGAAGTTTTTTTTTTAATGTTTATTATTTTTGACAGACAGTGTGAGCGGGGGAGGGGTAGAGAGAGGGAGACACAGGATCCAAAGCAGGTTCCAGGCTCTGAGCTGTCAGCACAGAGCCTGATGCGTGGCTCAAACCCACGAACCCGTGAGATCATGACCTGAGCCGAAGTCGGATGTTTAAGTGACTGAGCTGCCCAGGTGCTTCTTTATGCATTCATCTACCAGTGGACACTTGGGCTGCTTCCGTGGCTTGGCTGTAGGAAACATAGGGGTGCATACATCTTTTCAAATTAGTGTTTTCATATTCGTTGGTAAATACCCAGTAGTGCTATTGCTGGGTCATGGGGTAGTTCTATTTTTAATTTTCTGAGGAACCTGCACACTTTTCCACAGAGGCTGTACCGATTTGCCTTCCCGCCAACAGTGCACAAGACTTCCTTCTTCTCTGTGTCCTCACCAACACTTGTTTCCTGTGTTTATGATTTTCGCCATTCTGACAGGTGTCAGACAATATCTCGTGATTTTGACTAAAAGTTCCCTGATGATGAGTGATGTTGAGCATCTTTTCATGTGTCTTTCAGCCCTCTGGATGTCTTCTTTGGAGACCTATTTGTTTCTTGTCTTCTGCCCATTTTTGAAATGGATTATTTGGGTTTGTTGGTGGTGTGTATATATTCTGGATACTAACCCTTTATTGGATACGTCATTTGTAAATATCTTCTCCCATTCAGCAGGTTATTTTTTAGTTTTGTTGATTGTTTCCTTGCTGTGTAGAAAGAAGCTTTTTATTTTGTTTTGGTCCTAACAGCTTTTCTTTGCCTTAGGGTCTCCTGAGACAAGAGAAACAATCTAGAAAAATATGGCTGTGACCCATGTCCAAGAAACTCCTGCCTGTGCTGTCTTCCAGGATTTTTATTACCCAAGAATTTTAAATGAATAATAATTCATTTGAATGAATAATAAGCATACTTAGTGTTTGTAGGCATTGTTCATTTTAAAAAAAATCACTGCTGCTGTAGAACTCTGGCTATGCAATGGGCTCTAATCTGAATCCTCCCTCTTTGAGGCAACTTATAACCCATATACATTGAAATAGCAAAATATAAAGGTATATTCAGAGAATAGTAGAATCAAGGAAAAAATAAGAAAATTTGAACAAATATTTGATATACTGGTAAAAATTAGTGTCTGATTAAGCTTAAAATTTGGCTTTGAGCTTCCTCGTTGACAGGATAAAAAGAAAAACAGTTTCTGTTGTAGAATTCTTATCAGAAAGGAATTATACCAAGTTTCTCAGGCAAAACAGCTTTTACTATTAAATTGCT